CCACTTGCAGTCTCCACCCCAGCACCCTGCTCTAATGACCATTTCCTACTTTCTGAGCTCCTTTAGTCCAGCAAGCGAAGTCCAATCTCTGTCCCCATTTAGTCCCCCAAAGCAAGGACCCTACACTTTTAAATTGCCCATCACCTATGTCATATTCTTAGTTCTCAGTTTACCTGACTTAGATCTCACGTCCGCCCCTCTATATACCCCCTTGCAGACACCCTCAGTTCCCTTGCCCTTCTCACTCCTCTCCTCCCCTGAACATGTCTGCACCTACACCCAATCAGGTAAACCTGGTTGTAGAAAAACTATACAATCATGCTGACTGGTCCCACTAGCAATTCATGAGTCCCAGCTTGTCACAAGCCAGAAATCTTGCTGTTTCTCCAGACAGGCGGGGGCGGTAGGCCATCTCAGGCAGCGGTGGCAGGAAGCGATGGCAGGCTGCGGTAAGCAGCGGCAGCCAGGCGTCGGTAAGCAGTGGCTGGCAGGCAGACTGCCGCAGTGGGAGGGAGGCAGCAGCGCAGATGGCAACAGGCGGTGGCGGCAGGAAGCGGCGACAGACAGGTGGCGGCAGGCAGCTGGTGGCGGCAGGAAGCAGTGGCAGGCGGGTGGCGGGGGCAGGTGGTGGCCGCAGGCAGCAGTGTTCCGGAGGCGGGAGTTGCAGCTGTTGGAAGGCGGCAGCAGTAGGCATGCGGTGGTGGCGGGCTGCGGTGGCGGGCAGTGTAAGCGGCAGCAGGCGGTGGTGGTAAGGAAGCAGCAGCGGGCCGTGGCGGGCAGGGGGCAGCGGGGGCAGGCAAGCGGTGGCAGGCAACGTCGGCAGCGGGCTGCAGGCGGTCGCGATAGGCAGGTGGTGGTGGTGGTGGCAGGTGGCGGCGGTAGGCACCGGTAAGCGGGCAGGGGGTGCGGGCAGGCAGGCGGGGGCAGGGGGGATGCAGGCAAGGGCTGCGGGCGGCGGCAGGAAAGGTTGGCAGACAGGTTTGGCAGACAGGCGGTGGTGGTAGGTAGTAGCAGGCAGCCCCGGCAGGAAGCGAAGGCAGGCGGCAGTGGCAGCAGGCGACAGCGCGGGCAGGCTGTGGTAAGCAGTGGCTGGCAGTCAGGCAGCCACAGGCAAGGGAGGCGCGCGGTGCGAGGAGGTAGCAGGCGGCGGCGGCGGGAAGCGGTGGGACGCAGGCAGCTGGGGCGGCAGGCAGGAAGCCCCGGCAAGCGGCAGGCAGGCGGCAACAGGAAGCGGCGGCAGCGGTGTCAGGCGGCAGTGGCAGGAAGCCACGGGAGACAGCGGAGGCAGGTGGCGGGGGAAGGTGGCAGGAGGAGGCAGGCTGCAGCGGAGGCAGGCAGTGGGGGCAGCGGGCTGCAGGCGCCAGCGGTAGGCAGGCGGTAGTGGCAGGTAGGAGGTAGCAGGTGCAGGATGCAGTAAGCAGCGGCTGGCAGGCAGGCCACGGCAGGCGAGGGCCGCGGGAGGTGCAAGGACATAGCAGGCGTCGGCGGCAGGCATTCGGCGGGGGCAGACAGGCTGCAGACAGCAGCATTAGGAAGACGGCAGCTGTGGCGATTGGCAGGTGGCAGTGGTAGGCAGGCGGTGCCGGCAGCGGTGGGGGAGCGCAGGCAGCGTTGGCATGCATCCTCGCGGTTAGGTAGCTGGGCCCGGTGGAGCCAGGCTGCGGCAGCAGATGACGGTGGCAGACGGCGGCAGGATGCGGTGCCATGCAGTCGGCCACGGATGCCGGCGGGCAGCAGGCAAGGGTGCAGGCAAGGGCGGTGGGTGGCAGAAGGCAGGTGGCGGCGGCAGGTAGAGGTAAGCGGCAGCAGGGGGCGGCAGTGGCAGACGGCAGTGGTAGTACTGACTGGTGGCAGTGGCAGGCGGCGGTGGCAGCAGTGGTGGGCAGTGGCGGCAGGCAGCGGCAGGCAGGCGGTGGCAGTCGGTGGCAGGCGGCAGTGGGCAGCAGCAGAGGTGGCAGCGGTGACAGCACCAGTGGGTGGCGTCTGCGGCTGCAGCGGCTGCAGGGGCGGCAAGGGCTGCAGGGGCGCAAGCTTTGGGCAGCCCCGCGTCATTGGGCGGCGGTGTGTGGCAGCCTCAACAGCAGGTGCCATTGGCTTCAACCGGAGTCACCGGTGGCGGAAGCAGGCGCCGCGATAGTGGCGCGGTCAGCACAGGCGGGTCAGTGGCGGCAGCGTGGGTCAGCGTGGGAAGGGGCGCCGGAAGCGCCGGCGGGTATAGTCGGGTTACGCGGCGGCGTCGGCGGCGTCGGCGGCGTCGGCGGCGTCGGCGGCGTCGGCGGCGTCGGCGGCGTCGGCGGCGTCGGCGGCGTCGGCGGCGTCGGCGGCGTCGGCGGCGTCGGCGGCGTCGGCGGCGTCGGCGGCGTCGGCGGCGTCGGCGGCGTCGGCGGCGTCGGCGGCGTCGGCGGCGTCGGCGGCGACAGCAGTACTGTTGGCGTCAGTCGGCTTCCGCGTTGGGCAGCAGCGGAAGCTCCGGGCAGCAGAGGCAGCAGCAGGAGTATCAGCAGCGGGCGGCAGCAGCGGTAGGTGCCGGGTTAGTGGGGGTCAGTATGTGGCAGCGGGAGGCGGTGGAGGCAGTGGAGGCAGGGGGCGGCAGTAAGCGGTGGGGGCAGGGAGGCAGGTAGCGGCAGGCAAGAGTGGTGGGCGGCGGCAGCGGTAGGTGATTGCAGGCGGCGGCAGGAAGCGGTGGCAGGCTGTGGTAAGAAGCGGCAGGCAGGCAGGCGGCGGCAGCAGGCAGGCAAGGGCAGTGGAAGGAGGTAGCAAGCGGTGGCGGCGGCAGGGGGCAGGGGCAGGCAGGCTGCGGCAGGCAGGTGGCAGGCAGTTGCAGGCAGACTGCAGCATTGGGGGTAGGCAGTAGCCGCAGGTGGCAACAGGTGGTGGCGGCAGGAAGCGGCGGTGGGCAGGTGGTGGGGGCAGGTGGTGGCGGCTGGCAGGCCCCGGCTAGAGGCAGGCAGGGGGCGGAGGCGGCAAGAGGTGGCAGACGGGGGCAGGCAGTGGTAAGCGGCGGCAGGAAACGGCGGCACGTGGCAGGGCCAGGCAGCAGCGTTAGGTAGGCGGCAGCGGTAGGCATGTGGTGGCTGTGGGTTGCCGTGGCGGGTAGTGGTAACTGGCAGCAGGCGGTGGTAGGCGGCGGTGGTAGGTAAGCAGCAGCAGGCCGTGGCGGGCTGCAGGCAGCAGGGGCCAGGCAGGAAGCGGCGGCTGATAGTCGCAGCCGGCGGTAAGCGTTGGCTGAAAGCGGCGGCAGGCGGCAGGGGCAGACGGCAGCGGCAGGCGGTGGGGGCAAGTGGGCTGCAGGGGGCAGCGGCAGCAGGTGGCGGCGGTAGGCAGGCACCATTGGCAGGCATCGTCGAGGTTAGGCAGCGGAGGCGGGTGGCAGTAGCGCAGATGGCAACAGGCGGTGGTGGCAGGAAGCAGTGGCAGGCGGGTGGCGGGGACAGGTGGTGGCCGCAGGCAGCAGTCTTAGGAAGGCGGGAATTGCAGCTGTTGGGAGGCGGCAGTAGTAGGCATGCGGTGGTGGCGGGCTGCGGTGGCGGGCAGTGGTAAGCGGCAACAGGCGGCGGTGGTAAGGAAGCGGCAGCGGGCTGTGGCGGGCAGGGGGCAGCGGGGGCAGGCAGGCGGTGGCAGGCAACGTCGGCAGCGGGCTGCACGCAGCCGCGGTAGGCAGGTGGTGGTGGTGGTGGCAGGTGGCGGCGGTAGGCACCGGTAAGCGGCGGCAGGGGGTGCGGGCAGGCAGGCGGAGGCAGGGGGACACAGGCAAGGACGGCGGGCGGCGGCAGGCAGGGTTTGCAGACAGCTTTGGCAGACAGGCGGTGGTGGTAGGTAGTAGCAGGCAGCCCCGGCAGGAAGCGAAGGCAGTGGCAGCAGGCAGCAGCGCGGGCAGGCTGTGGTAAGCAGTGGCTGGCAGTCAGGCAGCCACAAGCAAGGGAGGCGGGCGGTGCGAGGAGGTAGCAGGCGGCGGCGGCAGGAAGCGGTGGGACGCAGGCAGCAGGGGCGGCAGGCAGGCAAGCCCCGGCAAGGGGCAGGCAGGCGGCAACAGGAAGCGGCGGCAGCGGTGTCAGGCGGCGGTGGCAGGAAGCGGCGGCAGACAGCGGAGGCAGGTGCCAGGGGAAGATGGCAGGAGGAGGCAGGCTGCAGCGGAGGCAGGCAGTGGGGGCAGCGGGCTACAGGCACCAGCGGTAGGCAGGCGGTGGCGGCAGGTAAGAGGTAGGAGGTACAGGCTGCACTAAGCAGCGTCTGGCAGGCAGGCCACGGCAGGTAAGGGCCGCGGGTGGTGTAAGGATATAGCAGGCGGCGGCGGCAGGCAGGCGGCGGGGGCAGGCAGGTGGCAGACAGCAGCATTAGGCAGGCGGCAGCTGTGGCAATTGGCAGGTGGCAGCGGTAAGCCGGTGGTGCTGGCAGCGGAGTGGTTAGGCAGGCAGCGTTGGCATGCATTCTCGGGGTTAGGTAGCTGGGCCCGGTGGAGCCAGGCTGCGGCAGCAGACGGCGGTGGCAGGCAGGCGGCCACGGATGCCGGCGGGCAGCAGGCTGCAGGCGCAGGTAAGGGCGGTGGGTGGCAGAAGGCAGGTGGCGGCGGCAGGCAGAGGTAAGCAGCAGCAGGGGGCGGCAGTGGCAGACGGCAGTGGTAGTACTGACTGGTGGTGGCAGCAGGCAGGCGGTGGCAGGCGGCGGTGGCAGGCAGCGGCAGGCAGGTGGTGGCAGTCGGTGTCAGGTGGCAGCGGGCAGCAGCAGAGGTGGCAGCGGTTACAGCACCAGTGGGTGGCGTCTGCGGCTGCAGCGGCTGCAGGGGTGGCAAGGGCTGCAGGGGCGCCAGCTTTGGGCAGCCCAGGGTCATTGGGCGGCAGTGTGTGGCAGCCTCAGCAGCAGGTGCCATTGGCTTCAGCGGGAATCACCGGCGGGGGAAGCAGGCGCCGCGATAGGGGCGGGGTCAGCAGCAGGCGGGTCAGCGTTGGCAGCGTGGGTCAGCGTGGGGAGGGGCGCCGGAAGCGCCGGCGGGCATCTGCGGGTTACGCGGCGGCGTCAGTGGCGGCATCGGCGGCAGCGGCGGCAGCGGCGTCAGCAGTAGTGCGGGCGTCAGTCGGCTTCAGCGTTTGGGAGCAGCGGAAGCTCCGGGCAGCAGAGGCAGCAGCAGGAGTATCAGCAGCGGGCGGCGGCAGCGGTAGGTGCCGGGTTAGTGGGGTCAGTATGTGGCAGCGGGAGGCGGTGGAGGCAGTGGAGGCAGGGGGCGGCAGTAAGCGGTGGGGGCAGGGAGGCAGGTAGCGGCAGGCAAGTGTGGTGGGCGGCGACAGGCAGGGTTGGCAGACAGGCGCCGGTGGTAGGCGATTTTAGGCAGTGGCAGGCGGCGGCGGCAGGCAGGCAAGGGCGGCGGGCGGTGGAAGGAGGTAGCAGGCGGCGACGGCGGCAGGGGGCGGGGGCAGGCAGGCTGCGGCAGGCAGGTGGCAGGGAGTTGCAGGCAGACTGCAGCATTGGGGGTAGGCAGTAGCCGCAGGTGGCAACAGGTGGTGGCTGCAGGAAGCGGCGGCGGGCAGGTGGTGGGGGCAGGTGCTGGTGGCTGGCAGGCCCTGGCTAGAGGCAAGCAGGGGGCGGCGGCGGCAAGAGGTGGCAGACGGGGGCAGGCAGTGGTAAGCGGCGGGAGGAAGCGGCGGCAGGCGGCAGGGCCAGGCAGCAGCGTTAGGTAGGCGACAGCGGTAGTCATGTGGTGGCTGTGGGTTGCCGTGGCGGGTAGTGGTAACTGGCAGCAGGCGGTGGTAGGCGGCAGTGGTAGGTAAGCAGCAGCAGGGAGCCCGATGCGGGACTCGATCCCGGGACTCCAGGATCATGACCTGACCCGAAGGCAGTCACTTAACCAACTGAGCCACCCAGGCGCCCTCAGCTTTTTTCTTTTCAAAGAACCAGCTCTTTTGTTGATCTTTCTATTGCCTTCATAGTCTGTATTTGATTTATTTGTTTGAGATGTTACTTCCTTTCTTCTATTAAATTTGGGCTTCCGTGTTCTTTTTCTGGTTCCTTGAGGTGGAAAATTAGGCTGCTTATTTGAGACGATTCTTGTTTCTTGATTTACGCCTGTATTACTATAAACTACCATCTTAGAACCACTGTTTTTTAATTTTTTTTAAATTTTTAAAAAATTTTTATTGTTATGTTAATCACCATACATCATTAGTTTTAGATGTAGTGTTCCATGATTCATTGCTTGTGCATAACACCCCGTGCTCCATTCAGAATGTGCCCTATTTAATACCCATCACCAGGCTAAACCATCCTCCCACCCCCCTCCCCTCTAGAACCCTCAGTTTGTTTTTCAGAGTCCATCATCTCTCATGGTTCATCTCCCCATCCAATTTACCCCCCTTCATTCTTCCCCTCCTGATATCTTCTTCTTCTTTTTTTTTTTTTTTTGTTTCTTAACATATATTACATTATTCGTTTCAGAGGTACAGATCTGAGATTCAACCGTCTTGCACAATTCCCAAGGTTTACCAGAGCACATACCCTCCCCAATGTCTATCCCCCAGTCATCCCATCCCACCCCCCACTCCAGCAACCCTCAGTTTCTTTCCTGAGATTAAGAATTCCTCATATCAGTGAGGTCATTTGATACATGTCTTTCTCTGTTTGACTTATTTCGCTCAGCATAATGCCCTCCAATTCCATCCACATCGTTGCAAGTGGCAAGATCTCATTCCTTTTGATGGCTACCTAATATTCCATTGTATATATATACCATTTCTTCCTTATTCATTTATCTGTCGATGGACATCTTGGCTCTATCCACAGTTTGGCTATTGTGGACATTGCTGCTATAAACATCGGGGTGCATGTACCCCTTCGGGTCCCTACATTTGTATCTTTAGGATAAATACCCAGCAGTGCAGTTGCTGGATCATATGATAGATCTATTTTCAACTTCTGGAGGAACCTCCATACTGTTTTCCAGAGTGGCTGCACCAGCTTGCATTTCCACCAACAGCGTAGGAGGGTTCCCCTTTCTCTGGATCCCTGCCAACATCTGTCCTTTCCTGACTTGTTAATTTTAGCCATTCTGACTGGTGTGAGGTGGTATCTCATTGAGGTTTTGATTTGAATTTCCCTGATGCCGAGCGATGTTGAGCACTTTTTCATGTGTCTGTTGGCCATTTGGATGTCTTCTTTGGAAAAATGTCTGTTCATGTCTTCTGCCCATTTCTTGATTGGATTCTTTGTTCTTTGGGTGTTGACTTTGATAATTTTGGATACTAGCCCTTTATCTGATATGTCATTTGCAAATATCTTCTCCCGCTCTGTCGGTTGTCTTTTGGTTTTGTTGACTGTTTCTTTCGCTGTTCAAAAGCTTTCTATCTTGATGAAGACCCAATAGTTCATTTTTGCCCTTGCTTCCCTTGCCTTTGGCAATGTTTCTAGGAAGAAGTTGCTGAGGCTGAGGTCGAAGAGGTTGCTGCCTGTGTTCTCCTTTAGGATTTGGATGGACTCCTGTCTCTCATTGAGGTCTTTCAACCATTTGGAGTCTATTTTTGTGTGTGGTGTAAGGAAATGGTCCAATTTCATTCTTCTGCATGTGGCTGTCCAATTTTCCCAACACCATTTGTTGAAGAGACTGTCTTTTTGCCATTGGACATTCTTTCCTGCTTTGTCGAAGATGAGTTGACCATAGAGTTGAGGGTCTACTTCTGGGCTCTCTATTCTGTTCCATTGATCGATGTGTCTGTTTTTGTGCCAGTACCATACTGTCTTGATGATGACAGCTTTGTAATAGAGCTGGAAGTCCGGAATTGTGATGCCGCCAGCTTTGCTTTTCTTTTTCAACATTCCTCTGGCTATTCGGGGTCTTTTCTGGTTCCATACAAATTTTAGGATGATTTGTTCCATTTCTTTGAGAAAAGTGGATGGTATTTTGGTGGGGATTGCATTGAATGTGTAGATTGCTCTAGGTAACATTGACATCTTTACAATATTTGTTCTTCCAATCCATGAGCATGGAACGTTTTTCCATTTCTTTGTGTCTTCCTCAATTCCTTTCATGAGTATTTTATAGTTTTCTGAGTACAGATCCTTTGTCTCTTTGGTTAGATTTCTTCCTAGGTATCTTATTGTTTTGGGTGCACTTGTAAATGGGATTGACTCCTTCATTTCTCTTTCTTCTGTCTTGTTGGTGTATAGGAATGCCACTGACTTCTGTGCATTGATTTTATATCCTGTGACTTAACTGAATTCCTGTATGAGTTCTAGCAGTTTTGGGGTGGAGTCTTTTGGGTTTTCCACATAAGGTATCATATCATCTGCAAAGAGTGAGAGTTTGACTTCTTCTTTGCCGATTTGGATGCCTTTGATTTCTTTTCGTTGTCTGATTGCTGTGTCTAGGACATCGAATACTATGTTGAATAGCAGTCGTAATAGTGGACATCGCTGCCACGTTCCTGACTTTAGGGAGAAAGCTCTCAGTTTTTCCCCATTGAGAATGATATTCGCTTTAGGTTTTTCATAGATGGCTTTTATGATACTGAAGTATGTACCCTCTATCCCTATACTCTGAAGAATTTTGATCAAGAAAGGATGCTGTACTTTGTCAAATGCTTTTTCTGCATCTATTGAGAAGATCAAATGATTCTTGTTCTTTCTTTTGTTAATGTATTGTATCACGTTGATTGATTTGCGGATGGTGAACCAACCTTGCAGCCCAGGGATAAATCCCACTTGGTTGTGGTGAATAATCCTTTGAATGTACTGTTGGATCCTATTGGCTAGTAGTTTGGTGAGAATTTTTGCATCCTTGTTCATCAGGGATATTGGTCTGTAATTCTCCTTTTTGATGGGGTCTTTGTCTGGTTTTGGGATCAAGGTAATGGTGGCCTCATATAATGAGTTTGGAAGTTTTCCTTCCATTTCTATTTTTTGGAACAGTTTCAGAAGAATAGGTATTAATTCTTCTGGAAATGTTTGGTAGAATTCCCGTGGGAAGCCATCTGGCCCTGGGCTTTTGTTTGTGGGGAGATTTTGATGACTGCTTCAATTTCCTTAGTGGTTATAGGTCTGTTCAGGTTTTCTATTTCATCCTGGTTCAGTTTTGGTAGTTGATACATCTCTAGGAATGCATCCATCTCTTCCAGGTTATCTAATTTGCTGCCATAGAGTTGCTCATAATATGTTCTTATAATTCTTTGTATTTCTTTGGTGTTGGTTGTGATCTCTCCCCTTTCATTCATGATTTAATTTATTTGGGTCATTTCTCTTTTCTTTTTGATAAGTCTGGCCAGGGGTTTATCAATTTTGTTAATTCTTTCAAAGAACCAGCTCCTAGTTTCGTTGATCTTTTCTACTGTTCTTTTAGTTTCTATTTCATTGATTTCTGCTCTGATCTTTATTATGTCTCTTCTCTTGCTGGGCTTAGGCTTTATTTGCTGTTCTTTCTCCAGCTCCTTTAGGTGTAGGGTTAGGTTGTGTATTTGAGACCTTTCTTGTTTCTTTTTTTTTTTTAAGATTTTATTTATTTATTTGAGACAGAGAGAATGAGAGAGACAGAGAGCACATGAGAGGGCACGAGGGTCAGAGGGAGAAGCAGGCTCCCTGCTGAGCAGGGAGCCCGATGCGGGACTCGATCCTGGGACTCCAGGATCATGACCTGAGCTGAAGGCAGTCGCTTAACCAACTGAGCCACTTTCTTGTTTCTTGAAAAAGGCTTGTATTGCTATGTAATTTCCTCTTAGGGCTGCCTTTGCTGCATCCCAATGATTTTGAATAGTTGTGTTTTCATTTTCATTGGTTTCCACGAATTTTTTAAAATCTTCTTTAATTTCCTGGTTGACCCACTCATTCTTTAGTAGGATGCTCTTTAGCCTCCATGTATTTGAGTTCTTTGCGACTTTCCTCTTGTGATTGAGTTCTAGTTTCAAAGCATTGTGGTCTGAAAATAGGCAGGGAATGATCCCAGTCTTTTGGTACCGGTTGAGACCTCCTTTATGACCTAGGATGTGATCTATTCTGGAGAATGTTCCATGGGCACTAGAGAAGAATGTGTATTCCGTTGCTTTGGCATGGAATATTCTGAATATGTCTGTGAAGTCCCTTTTGTCCAGTGTGTCATTTAAAGTCTTTATTTGCTTGTTGTCTTTTGCTTAGATATTCTGTGCATTTTAGTGAGGGGGGTGTTAAAGTCCCCCACTATTATTGTATTGTTGTCGATGTGTTTCTTTGCTTTTGTTATTAATTGCCTTATATAATTGGCTGCTCCCATGTTAGGGGCATAGATATTTACAATTGTTAGATGTTCTTGTTGGATAGACCCTTTAAGTAGGATATAGTGTCCTTCCCTATCTCTTATTACAGTCTTTGGTTTAAAATCTAATTTGTCTGATATAAGGATTGCCACCCCAGCTTTCTTTTGGTGTCCATTAGTATGGTAAATGGTTTTCCACCCCCTCACTTTCAATCTGGGGGTGTCTTTGGGTCTAAAATGAGTCTCTTGCAGACACCATATCGATGGGACTTGTTTTTTAATCCAATCTGATAAGACTGTGTCTTTTGATTGGGGCATTGAGCCCATTTCCATTCAGGGTAACTATTGAAAGATAGGAATTTAGTGCCATTGTTATTGCCTGTAAGGTGACTGTTACTGTATATTGTCTGTGTTCCTTTCTGGTCTATGTTGCTTTTAGGCTCTCTCTTTGCTTAGAGGACCCCTTTCAAGATTTCCTGTAGGGCTGGTTTT